TTTTTCTGGATATATGTCACTGGTGGCAACTAAAATTAGAAAATATGCTTTTATGAGGCTTAGCAGGACAACTCACACGTAAATGATCAATTTTTTTCAGGCTTAAGATTCCAGCTCATCACTAGTCAACAAAGGACAAATCTCAGATTAGCAGCACCCTCTTCAACAAGCTATTGTCCCATGCCCCATTGTTGTGATTATCTGCTCTACTGAAGCACAGAAGGAAATAAGAACTAAATATAAAATTAAAAACATGATTCCCAATGTTAAATGTAACTTTAAAAAGAAGTAAGCAACAAAATGGAATAAAGTCACTGTTTGCATCAACATGGACCCTTAGCTCTGGTACCCAGCAAAAAGAGAGCTATCTGAGGTATTCTGCTCTATATTTGGGGGGTGGGGGGGAGAGAAACTGTGCCAAGATTCTGCCCATAGTCTTACACATGTGAGGTGAGGCAGACAGACCAGGCAGGCAATCAACCTCCAGGCAGGTTGTCAGCAGTTCTCCAAGACATGGAAATAGTTCTAATAGTGGAAACTGGCTTATATACTTTGGCCCATATATCCTTTTTTAGACCAAGTGTCTGATTGCTACAGCATATTCTAGATTTATGTACATTTTGTACCACAGTAAACTATTCAACCTATAATACTTTTGAAGCTCTATGATAAAAATTTGTAATAGGAGGTAACTACTCATTAATTCATTTTGTTGTGTTGCAAACCATTTGAATACTTTTTACTATTATTTCTGTAGCTCTAAATTTACAGTGCCATTCTTACACACACACACACACACACACACACACACACACACACACATCTATCTCCCAGGAATATTTTTGAAAATAGAAAAAATTGTAAATTATTTGAAGCATTTATGTCTTCTAGATTATTTCCAATTTGCCACAACACTATCTCTGGTACCAGCGATATCCCCTTTGAGAATTCATTTTTATTCCTCTCTCTTACTTGTCCTCCGTGTTTATCTCACATATAATCTTACTACTCTTTCATCCATTCATCCCTTTATTCAATGCACACTTACTTAGCTTTCAACAGTTTTCAATCTACAAATATTTACTTCTATGTATCAGGAATGGAATTACAAAGAAAAATAAGGCATGACCCTTACCCTCCCACCAATTCTAAGTTTTGAAAAATTAAAAGACACCAAAATATTTAATTTGCACAAAATTTTAGTACCATAAATAGGCTTCAATAAAATAATTGAGGAATATAGAAGTGGGATAGAATGGGGTATACCAGAGAGAGCATCACAGAACAGAAACACTGAGCTTAGTTCAAAAAGAAAAGTAGGAGTTTGTCTGGACACAAAGGAAACTGAATGAATGAGTAGAGACACAGAGGCATAAGGAAGCAAGACATTGAAGAACATAACAACAGAGAATAGCTCAAAGCAAACACAGATACAAATAAATGTGAGGGGCTCTTGACTATGGGGAAAGGTGAACTAGACCTGCCTCATTTCATCGGCTACTCAAAGTGAGTTTTAACTTGTGAGCCATCAGGAGTTAATAAGAGCTTTGTGTAGCTGACTAACCATCCAGACATAAGCACAAAAATAATTTAGGGACGGTGAGGAAGGTGGACTAAAAGTAGGAATAGACTGGTATAGTAAATTCGGTGGGAAGCTGTGGTACCAATCTAGGAGTGAGATAATGAATAAAGGTTAGAATGAAATGGAGGAGATGGATTCAAAACTATTTATGAGACAGTCTTGAAGATTTGGCAAGACATTGTATATTTAGTTTGTGTGCATATGTTCCATGGAAGTGGGCAAAGAGACAGAAAGCAAGGCAAGAAGGAATTTTCTGTTTTGTTTACCTCAGAGAGGACTGAAAAAATATTGTTATTTACAGACAAAGAATCCCAGAAAGGACACAGGTTCACAGATAAGCATGGACAAAAATGGTAAGGTGGTTTGCTTTCTTTTTAGACATTTTAAATTTCAAGTAACAAGAGTTATTACATGGAGATGACTTAGTAAGTAGTTACAAAAATGAAAATGATGGATGGTGCCATCACACACAGATGGCATTAGAAGTAAAAGGATAAGCTAAGGTCTGTAGGACAAAAGTTAAGTCAAATAAAAACCTAGGGAACAGTGTAAACAGATGAGCAGGTTTTCATTTTCATTTATTACCAAGAGATAAGAACATGTGACGGGAAAAAAAAAAATACAAGAACCAAGTGTTGGTGTTAAAACTGGGGGAAAGAATTAATTGAAGAAAGAATATGCTCAGCAACATCAATTATCTTATTTAGCCATTAGACTTTATATTCTTACATTGATTTTATTAACAAAAACAACAAAGCCCAGAATGTTTATTGACAGACTCCAGGTACAAAAAGAGTCTTTTTCCCTCTAAAAGTTACTGCCTTTTTAGCAACAGCTTCATTTGATGATATAAAAGCTTCACATTCTCAGTTCACCCTCAATTAGAGTAATTTTGCTCTTTAGGGCCAGTGGCTATCATAACCAAAAAGCTCTTTTTCTCCCCTTTCTAATTTTGCCAGTCTGCTTTCATCATCCTCTTCCAGTTCTCTACACCCAGCTTGCTCTCCTCTCCCACATCTGTTTTGTCCATTCCTCTTCTCTAAGTCAGGTGTACCCATCACCCTTTGCTAACATTTCCTGGACTACCTTCTTAGAACAATATATTCCTACTCCTCCCTGGAACTGAAACCACTTGGAATATGCCATTATTCTAAGTTCCCTTGACATTATTCATGGGTAGAAGCTTTGCACCCTTTCTTATCTGAAATTTTTCAAGTCTGTCTAGTTTATCTTCTCAATCAACTCAAAACTTTCTCAAGGGAAGATGCGATAATAATGTACAGAATAAAAGGGGTGACACTTACCATAGAAGACTGCACATTTTACAGGAAACAAATCTTTAGCCAGGATAAGTATACTTAAAACAACTATTTGAATAAGTTATGCTTTCACATGACATATGTGACCAACATATATGTATTTATATTGTTATGCAACACCTAAATAGTATTTAAAAAAAAGTAGCATGTTCTTTTAGACATCCCCTTAAATCTGTATTCTGGAAAATGTGTTCCAATACTACAGGGGTGCAATGAACTCCTGTGCAGTCCAGTTAAGGGCCAAGACACAGTTTCAGTCTAATAGTATCCAAGGCAACACAACATAATTGCTGGCTGGTTCCTTAAAGCACATTCAAGAATAGAAAAAAACCAGTGAAACTAAAAGGAAACTCATAAATACCCAGGCCAGGCATCCTACAATAGGCCGTTATTTTCTTTGGAAATCAGACATAAAAAAGAATGACAGAACTGTTTTGTTTTTTTTTTTCATTTCTTTCATATTATTTCAAACACATACAAATATTCTCAGGTGGTGTTCCACCCTACCTTTGGTGGTTTTGAACTCCCAAGTTTTTTCTTAGCTTAAGTAAAAAGTAACTTAAATATCTGTCTACATAGAGTAAAGAAGAGTAAAGTGTCCACTTGAAAAAATTCCATAATTTTAGTTTTTTGTGTTTGAAAGCTCACAGATAGAGAAGTCACAGAATTATTTGGACAAACATTAAAGTAGATAAAAAGCAAAACTGTGAGACCTTACAAATGTCATCTCCTGCAGAGGATTTTGAAGAGTAAAGGTTTCCTCAGATAATCTCTTTAAGCAGCATAAAGTGATAACAAAGTTAGCTACATGTCTCAATAATATTTACTGAGAACTGATATGTGCCCAATAATGAGCTAAACATTACAAAGGTTATCTTATTCAGTCTCATTACAACCTTTTGAGGTGTGAGTACCCGTGCTAGATATGAGGAACTAGCAACTAGTAAGTTGTCTACAGTCACACCACTAGGGTGTATCAGTGCCAGAATTTAAACCCAGTCTGACAACCCACACCCACTCTTAATCTCCCAATTTTTTTTTAAGGTAAAGTATTTTCTAGTTAAATAATATAAAGTGATATTTTGCAGCTAAAAACTTCCCTATTTCCTAAAAGATGCCTAAATGGGAGCTACTCATCAAAATTAATGCAATGTAAATAAAAAGAAAAACTAGAATTCATGAAAGTTGACTGTGCCCTGTATCTAAAGGAAAAATATTATTACCAACTCCCAATGTAGATTAAATAAACTTTTCTACCACCAAAAATTACTGTCTCTGGTAATGCATTCCTAATTTATGCAAGTCGTATAACACATTTGAAACATTTTCTGAATATTCAGTATAAATGGGTATTTCTACATATTTGCTGAATGTTAGTGCATAAATGAGTCAATATTAGCATACTGATGAGTTATATACTAATAAAAAGTAATTTTGTTTCCCAAATTTGCTAATTTAATCCAAGCATAAATAAATATTAGATTTTTAAGCATTTCGCATATTTTTTATTTAATCCTTTGCCCAGGCTTACTTTCATACTTCAAAGTTCATAAATATATCCAAAAGGTACAAAATGCTATTACCAAAACACTCCTTAGCATAAAGCAACCATTGAAATGTATCCTTTACAATGTATTTATATATCTGTAAAACCCAAAGGCCCATTAGAAACTATATGTATCAACAATCCAGAAAACTACTTCAGATTACTGTCTCTGATTTCTCACATCTTCTATTCTTCAAAAGGTTCTATGGGTTACAAATAGGAAATAATTTTTCTTAGTTACTTAAAAGTAAATATACTAGCCGTTTATAGCCTTTTTTTACAGGAATATTCCAGGTAAGAGAAAAATTGAAAGCACATAGTGGAAATATTGTACCTTTAGTTATTTAATTCTGTATTGAGTTTCAAAGAGCTCTTAGAAAAACAGGAATATTGATAAAGAGTGAATAGGGAAGATATTCTTGAAGAATTTTTTTTTAAATTTCATACACAATAAATGGCAAACATTAAATGATCTCATACAGGAATTTAAGCATGGAGGCTGAAAGCATCAATAAAAATTTCTTTGTACATACTGTTTGAAAAAATTCCTTACCATATACTCCATATTAGAAGCTGTTGGATACACCTGACTTCTTAATTTATTATGAAGGTCCAAGATACTCTGCATGTCACTGTCTGTGATGGCCCTTTTCCCTCTTTGCTTGGCCGTCCACCACTCACCATCCTCATCCATGTACTTTTCCAAAAGTTTCTCCAATACAGTGGCATTAGGAACCACCATGGCTGGAATTGCTCTAGCCATGAATAGCACTGTGGTTACTCTGAGCCACTCCCTCGCGGTGCACTTCATAATGAATGATGTTCACGATTTCCTCGGGAAAATCTCCAAGACAGGCTCTTCCACTCCTTTTGGCTATAACGACAGGCAGTATGATTAAGACACAAACATGTATTAATTTTCTAACCTCAAGAGTAAAACAATTTACAAAGGAAGTAAACCAGCTTGATTTATCGACAAGGCTGGCACAATGGCACAATGAATAAACACTTTGAAAATAGCTTATCTCCCAACATGTATGTCCCCAGACTTTTTACAAAGTATTGTTTCCACAAAATAGACAATTACATTTCCCAGGTAATATGCTGTGGTCAATAAAAGGGGGAAGTAGTTCAGAAGAGTCAAAGCTTGAAAATAATTTCGGAGTCGCAAGGCCTTCAATGGCTGTATGTTCTGTATAGCCTGCAAAGAGTATCATCTATCTAGAATATTTTATATCACTACAAAAGTTCACGTTTCTCCCTATATGCTCTTTTACCGCAGTGACGCATCTCCGCCGAGACATTCAGAAAGCCCCAAACATTCTAAAATTGAGGGTGGTTTTAAAGTAGGCCATAATGTCATTCATATATGTATGCGTGTATGCGTGTATGCATGTCTCTCCTTGGATGCATCCAGAGGACCCAGTGAACTAAAGCAAATGAAATATCCAGGTCACTAGGGGAAGTTTTCTCTTACTTAATCATTATTTCCTGGAAAGTAAATGCCTAACCTGTAGCCCGCACCCGATCAGGTCAAGAGTTGGCCAACCACTTGCGAGCTGTTCCTCCCAAGCACCGAAGGCGCGCACGGTTCGCTCAATTCGAAACTCAGGAAAGCGCGCGCGAGACAGAAGAGGTGAAAGCCACAAATTTCTGCAAGGCTCCGTCGCGGCGGCTTTCCGAGCAGCCCATCCACCCTGCCCGGCCCTTATTTTTTTAAAGTAGGGCTTAGAAAAAAAGAAAGTTATATGAGAAAATGTGGCAGCCCATCGACCTGCGCTGCGTTTCAACTTGCCCTTACCTTCCCAGTGTGAAGTTCCCACTGAGAGCCGCGCCGACCGGGTCCGCTGGCTTCGCGCAGCCGCCCGCCAGCCTCCGCACGGGGCTCCACGCGCAGGCCGGTTCGGGAAGGACCCGGGCTTGGTGAGTCCTCCGGAGGCGGGAGTCTGGCTGCAGGGAGGCACGAGCCTCGGCCTCCGCGGCTCCTTTAGGACCTGGAAGAAGAAGCGGGGAAAGGGCTCCAAAGTTAGCGCCAGGAACCGGGGCGGGGACAGGCGGCCGAGAGAGCCAGCCAGAGCTAGGGCAGAACGTTATCTGCAGGAGCGAGGGGCGGGGACACAAACGGGTCCCGCGGAGCGGCCGGGCGGGCGGCGACTCGCGCTCCTGGTCACTGGTGCAGCCGCGCGCGGAGATAAGCGCCGAGCGCTTCAGCCGCTCGCTGCAGCAGCGGAGCATTTATAGAGAGCCGAGCGCTCACGTGACCCGAGCGCCCCTCCTGGCCCACTCCCACCTCCAGCCGGCCCTGGCCGGAGGCCCGCGGAGGGATCGCGGAGCAGCCGCTCGGCCTCTCCCCTGGTCAGGAGCAGCCAGGACGCTTGACCCTCGGGGGCGTGCTTTGGTTTCAGAGACCCCCAGTGGAAGGTTTGGGCCTGGTAGGGGTTGGGGGGCGGGTTGTCCTGAGGGCCCCAACTCCTCCCTCCCGTTGGAGCTTCACTGCTTTTGGAGATCTTCAGCCCAGTTCTAGTTCCTTCCTGAGGAGATGCTGAACTGTTAACAACCCATTCCGTAAAGGAGCTGCCCCACTGAGCTGGAGAGGAGTGAGGCCACGTGGGGTCAACACCTTCCATCTTGTAGATGCTGACTGAGAACTGAGGGGTGGGTAGGGGAGAGAAAGTCCTTTCCTTTTATTTTCGTCAGGAGATTGCTTCTTTTCTGAGACCAGTGTCCAAAATTAAATTGAACTTTTTGGCTCTTGTAAACCTCAGGTTGACTCGATGGGAAGGGGGTTCATAGAGTGATGATGTGATCTGCCCCGCGGGATTACCTGCCAGTAGAACACTGCTTCATCCAAAAAATATGTGTTCCCAAGGTGGCCACAATATTTTTGCTAACGGTGTAGATACTTATAGAGTTGATATCCTCAATTAACTTATCAGTGCCACATGGACAGTAATTTAAAACCCAATCCTAAAATTTAGTTAAATGTGAGTGTCCGTTTCTCTTCTGTCCATGTTGTGGAAAATTACTAATTTTAATTTCACAAAGACTCACCCTACTGAGTGTGGCGCTGCTACTACAGGTAGGTTTTTGTTTGTTTTAAACTCATAGGCTTTTATTTATCTTTGCTTTTCGTCTGCAGTTACCCATGATCTCAGTTTTCTTTATTTCTCAGTTTTAGAGAATAGGATATGATCAAATACAATAAAAGCATTTTGATAGTAACTCACAAGTCAACTTGCATGGAGTCATAATTTTGTAGTTTTATGGCAACTTGATCACAAAAGATTAGTGGTTTTCAATGGTTATAATTAATTCACATGCACGGGGTTCAGAAAACTGCCTTTACCTCTTGGAACCCCCAAAGTTCCTGATGTAAGAACTACCATTCGAATAATTAAAGAGCGTGTTTCCATACTGCAGTTTCCATGCTATTGAAAAGTATATTATCAAATAAAAAAAGTAATAACATTACTTGCAAGATTTCCAAATTTAAATTAGGATAAAGGGAGTTAAGTAAGGAAATGAAGTTAAATACATTGACTCCTAAATGTTTTCATTATAAACTTTTCCACACAGCATACATTTCAGATACTCAAAGATTTACGTTAAACAGTCATTCGGTTTTAAGGTTTTTAGTTAAGAATCTTTCCCCTTGACTGTTTTTATTGGCTTCCAAGTTGATACTTCTGTTCATATTTTTATATAAAGAATTATTTGCTCATTAGCTCCATTAAGCAATAACATTTCAGTGTGCATCTTGCTGCACGTGACTTAACATGTTTGGAAAAGCCATGTTTGAAAGAACAGTATCAAAAAACATCTTCTAATGCTCAAAGATCTTTTGTCCAAACTTCTGTGACTGGCTGCAAGAAAGAAAGATGGGAGGCAGAAAGGCTGAGCAAGCAGAGTTTATTGCTCTGGGGCAGCAGCTGAGATGGAGCCCCTAGGGTGGGGTCTGCAGCTACTGCCAACTCAGTAAGGGGGAAAGGGTCTTTTATATAGATCTAAGTTCACATTCCAAAGGTGACTCATAGCTGTGTCCCCTGGTGATAGGCCCAGTTCCTCCCACCTGAATCTCCTGGATGCGAACCCCAGTTGACTATCAGTTTGTTATCCCCTTCAGCTAGGGGATAAAATCTTTGGTTCCCAACAAAAGATAATATGGGTTATAGGTTTTATTTGCTGTCAAGAAACTCTGTAGACAACAGAAAAGATCTCTATACAAAATTCATATAAAAGTTTCACCTTGCTTTGTGGCTAAGGCTATTATTTGTAAAGCCATCATTGTTTTTAGCTCTACTGCTTTCTTGTGGCAGACATCGTTGATTCTTTAACCAACATCCAGGCTTCCATCCCTTTCTTCTAAGTCCACAGCCCCTCATTTGCTAGGAATGTCCACTCTTACCTGCTGTCAAACTGCCATTCTTGGGAGGTGAATATTGATTGTCCACGCAATTCATTACAACCCATCCCTAACTGTAATTGATTCAGTAGCAAGGACAACCCTTGCAAGCCTAGGCATTGAAAAAGAGAGAGAGAGAGAGAGAGAGAGAGAGAGAGAGAGAGAGAGAGAGAGAGAAACCTGTTTGGGTAGATGAGGAAGAGAGTTGGTAAGGATTTTCTTTTGTGATTAAAAAGAGATAAAAAAAGCAAATATACCTGGGGGGGGGGGGAATAGAGGGGCTGATTTGTAAGTTTGTAAAATTTAAATGGTACAGCTGTTATCCTGCAAAGAGAAGGGGTAAACCTGAGGACAAAGACCTGTCATCTTTAGATAGAAAAACAGTGCCCTCTGCCTTTTGAACATTCCCTTGAAAACCTATCCTTTTTTTTTCTTAGGTACAAGAGGTAATTTTCTTTAAACCCTGTTGTTTTGGGTATTCAGCTACTTGCACTTCAAAGTACTTTTTTTTTTTAAAGAATTTATTTATTCATGCATACAGGATTGGATACAGGCCAGAGATGCAGGGGCAGTGATAGGATCCACCAGAGGCAGAGTGGGGAGCAGAACAAGCAGATTGACAAAGTACATTGCTGAGGGGAGCAGTGGGAAGACATGAAAGGTCTGTGCCTTGTGGTTCACCTCCCTTGCCTGTGTGGAACTCGCACTGAAGCTGCTGCTGCTAGCTTAGTAGTGCTTCTCTTTAACTCATTGTGCCCCAGGGAGGGCCCCCAAAGTTTACTAATGAAAACATTTCTAAACAAAGAAATGCCTTACAATGTCATATTTTCTCCATGTTGCTGTTATTTCCTGTTCATGTATGTATGTATACTTAGGAGTCTACTTTAAATATATCCGTTTTTTTCGTCTGTCTCTGTCCCTAGGCAAGTCACCCACTATATGTTCATGATCCTCAACACTTAATCTCAAGCTGAAGTACTTACCAATCACCATATTAAAATTCCTTCCTTCACTGGGGAATGTATATTTTAGTAAAACTTTGTTATTGAAGTGTAGCATATTTGCAGTAAAGAACAGAAGTCTTAAATATAGAGCTCAATAGAATTTCACAGTTAGTGAAAAATCATTGAGATCCATATAGAGTACAGAAACATTTCCCAGAAGGGTTCTTCCAGGTGCATCCTCCCCACAGGTCGTTCATATTCTGACTTTTATTGAAAATTTGTTTTGCCTGTTTTCAATCTTTACACAGATGCAATACTACAGCAGACAGTTCTAAAGTCTGATTTATTCTGTGTCTTATTTCTTTTATTCAGTAATGTCTGCCGATTCATCCCTATTATAGGTATTGGTAATTTGTTCTTTTCCTTTGATGAACATACCACAATTTATTTACCCATTAGGGTGTCCAATATTAGAATTATTTCCAGCTTAGGACTGTTAATAAGAATGGTGCTAAGACCTTCCTTTCT